ACGGACGAGCTGCCCAGCGTACTTTGGGCCTACCGTACCACAGAATGGACTGCAACGGGAGAAACTCCCTTTAACGTTACATACGGCATTGAAGCAGTCGTCCCAATTGAGATTGAAGTCCCCTCGCTGAGACTAGAAGCATATGAAGACAGAGCAAACGAAGACGAGCTACGTACCAACCTCGACTTGGTAGACGAAGTACGGGACCTCGTGTACATCAGGACCGCGACCTACCAACAAAAGATAGCTCGGTACTAGAAGGGAACCAAATACCTCGGGCGTGGAATATCGTCAACCTAAGACTATATTACCTGTGAACTACCGAACTGAGTGAACCACGAGTCACTGCCTTCTTGCCTTAGGGCCAATTTTCCAAACAAGCGATAACCTCGGCAATACGAGGTCCAGTCACCCCCTCAACAGGGGCAGATTCCAAGAGAACAGTTTGGTGTGACCACGAGTCACTCCCTCCAGCCTAAGGGTCAACGCTCTAGGTTAACTGAAGACCTCAGCGCTATACATGACTCTACCGCCTCGCCAGCATAGGCTTAGCACGCCAAAGACCAAAGGCGTCTCGAGAACAGACCTTCTGACTCCTAGCCTACCTCGGTATACGCAGCTAGAGGTAAACGCCAACCTATATAGCCAAGCAGGCAGGTCGGGCACGCGCCTTACTATGCCTACCTCGGCACATGTCGCTAAAACCTGATGATCACCCCTACTAAGTGCAGGAAGACAGTTCGGGGTGACAACGGTAAAGGGTCGCTCATCTCAAGGACTGAATTTACTAACTCAACAGCTCAGATAAAGCAAACACTCCGGCAGAAGTGAGTCACACAATGGAGAATACAAAGAAACAAGAAATGTGATTTCATTACACCTGATTTCATTACAAATGTGATTTCGTTACAGAATCTGGGTCATAAACATGTTTCATTACAAAATCCCAAGTACAGAGAAACAAGAAAAGGGGAATACAAGGAGCACACAACTATTTAGAAGGCTTATCAGCCTTATGCGGGGCCTCTTCGAGGTTCTCCTCGGGGGTGTCAACCAGGTCGGTAGTATCGGCCTCCTCATCGCCGCCCTCATCGTCGGAATCTGGGCCATCTGTGGCCTGACGGGCCATGTCGTCGGTAATATTATAGGTGACGAAGGCACTTTTGTCAAGGTTTGGGTATGCGCGCCTAATCCACCACCTGCCGAGCTTGAACCCCTACGGTAGGCTTTCGACATTACGTTTTCAAATCTAGACGACTTTACATAGTCGATAACGGCCAGGGCCTTCGCCTCCCCGAGAGCTTCGTCGAAGATCTCGGTCTTCTCCTTAATGTCGGCTTTGAGCTACTCCACCTCGTGCTCCAAGGCCCCCTTGGCTTCCTTGAGCCCCTGCACCTCAAGCTGCGAAGCCCTCTGACACGCCTTGAGACTCTCCACCTCGAGCTTCAAGGCTTCTTGACCCGCTCTGAGCCCATTCACCTCGGCCTTCAGCCTATCCCTCTCGCGGGCCAACTTCTCGTACTTCAACAACAGAGCTTCGATAAAGCTCTTCTGGGCAGTAGCGTCACTTTCCAACTAGTGAATCTTGCCCCAAGCTACCCTCAGCTCAGTGTGAGCCACGCGAGATGACTCCTCAGCAGCCAGAGCACGGCTCAAGTGTTTGTCGAACTTAAAGGTCAGCGCGTGCACAGAGGTGTTCACCTGGCAGAAGGGGGTTGGTCAGTACTAAAGAAAGAAGGAGGAAAGAAGTTAGAGAGAGAGAAGTGGCTATTAGGGAGTGAACTCACCACCATGGCATGGGTTGCAACGCGGGCCCCGAGCTGACCAGGAGATAGTTCAGCCCAATCTACAACCTCCGCAGTGATAACAGCCCCCTTACTTCTTTCAAGGCTGATATCGGGATTCATAATGCTCCCTGCCTCCTCCTTAGTTCCCGATCTGGATGACGCCGTATCCGCGGCACGATGGGTCGATCCCTCGGAAACCTCGGCAGCAGCCCCGGCGGGATTTGGGACTTCAGCGGCCGCCCCGACTGGCTCAGCGATCGACTCTGCCGCCGTTTTAGGCCCCCGAGGTGGTAAGTCCCCCTCCAAGTCTATCATGGGAGGGGCATTAGGGAGCTCGGGCCCTGAGGAGGGGACTTGCGGGAGATCGGGTTCAGGGGTAGGGGTCCTTGAGGGTTCCACGTGCGCCTTCTTGGTAGCCCACTTCTTCCTCTTCTTCATCTGACGGAGGAGCCTCGGACTAGTAATCCTCTCTTCCTCCATAGGACCTGCAACAGAGCTCAGCGCCAATAAAATTCGAAGACACTAGGCGGATTGAAAAAAACGCTAAGGTGGAAATCGACCTACCCAGGCTCAAACCGGCCTGAATGAGCTTTTCTTCAGCAATGTAGTCCCTGTGATCGAACCCGGCCTGAGCCCATGAATGAAAGGTCTGCCACGTCTTCCGGTTAAGAGCAATGCTGGGAGCTTGAGTGGCCACCCTCTAGTTGGTAAGGAATGGCCACTCTGTGCGGCTCCGGACTACAAAGTAGTCCTGCTTCCAGGCCGAGACCTTGCTTGGGAACTTGTGTAGTATTTTGAAACCCGAGCGAGGGGACAAGTAGTAGGTTTGCCCGTGCTCGGGTGGAGCACCAGAGGCACTCTTTTKTATTAGCAGGATGGAGCTGAGGATATTTGTGTCCAGAGAAAAGTTTTGCTCGGAACAGAGTGAGATAGTCCCGACCTGGTTCCSAATAGAATTGGGGTGGAGTTGGTCCAGCATGATGCTGAAGCGYCTCAACACCTTGGGAATAAGGTGGTGGAGCGGGAGACGAAGCCCGCCAACTAGTTGTTCCTTGAAGATCACGATCTCATCTGGACCGTG